ATTAATGTACTGATGTTATCCAAGTTCTACTCCTATTTGAGTACCTCGACGGCCCCACGTCCCTTGTTTGTTCACCAAAATCTAAATGTCTTTACAACTCTTAACACATTTTAGTCGGTATCTTGTTCTCCATTTGCAGAATAAGGAAGTTCTCCACTAGCACAAATATCATGTTAGCATTATCTACATATGAAATGATGAATGTAGAGGACATAGCGTCCACACACTCAAATACACAATACTAGCTCATATAAAATATTTAGCCATCTTCAAAATATATAAATAGTTTCACCCCAACAATTTCCTCCTTTTTTACGATAACAAAACCTTATATAACCTTCCAATGTGCAAATGTGTTCACATGCATGAAGATTTTGGAAATATTTTGTTACACCCCAAACCTACCAAAATGGGAGAGTGACACGGCCATCCTTCCACTCGAAGGACGCAGCTTCAAACACAACCAAAAACAACAAACTCCCAAAACTCCTCATTGTTATCGCTCTCGATCTATTGACTGCTAATTGAGGGACCTGAAAAGATTGGGAAAGAGAGGGCTAAGCAACTAAAGCTTAATGAATAGTACATATCTCTTTTAAGCTGATCGAGCACTCACTATGCATTTTACAAAACAATACCTAAACTCATTATTCTCAATTCCAATATACAATATATACGCAATATCAATAATGAATTATAACTTTTACATATCGGAAATACTCATTTAAATCAACAATATCGAATCAAGCATCAATGATCCAGTCCATTGACCAATCTCATCAATTTCACATGTCGACGGTCCATTCCATCGACTAATCTCAAATCACATGTCAATGGTCCATCTATCGACCAAACTCGTGCTTAAATATCTAAGCATTGTCACGCATAACACCCCGTGACAAGGCGACCAAGCATTTTATAAAGGCTATGACCAAGTGACAAGGGACTCCTTGACAAAGGCTCTACCTATATTGCTGGTGGCTAGCCCACAAGAATATCCTAAACTTGTATGCCTATACCCACAAGCCCCTCAATGGGCTCACAGCGATATTGAGCACCAATGCAAACTCACAACATCCTTCACCATTCACAAACCAATTCAAAATCAATATCACAAAACAGTTTCACAAACCAAAAATAAATCGCTTTTCACAACTCAGTTTATCAATAAAATGCATTTTATAAAGCATTTTACAAATCCATAGATATAACCTTTCACAACACATTTCCTAAAAGATTTCAAAAAGCATTCACAAATATCAAAAAGCAGTAAATGCCCGATCCGAATTTTTATGCAACAAACATGCTTTAATAACTTGTACGATACTCAAATCAATCTCATTTTTAAAACATGGGTTTACAAACTCAAAGAAGAGATAGCACTACTCACCTGGGAACGCCTATGACCAAACAACAAAGATTACTTAAACCGTCGAACTTGCAATCCTATCAAATAAGCGAGAAACAACGTTAAAATTGAGTAAAATTTTGTCTCAACTATGACTCGACTAAACTAAGTTTATCCACTAAACGTGCCCACAAATCACTCATCCAAAGTGATTATCCAGAATGGTCCCAATGCAAAGATTGAGTGCGAAACTTGGTCGCGCCATAACTTCCTCCACCAAACTCCGTTTCAAACCAATTTATAGTCAAAAGAAAGCCTGTTTAGAGTACTAGAAAAGCCCCATCTTGACCGACCCAAAATCTATTCGGAAATTGGTGAAATTTGGCTCAAAAGGCACTCGACGTGCACTATTCATCACATGCGGCCAACTTCAAAATTTTGTTCCGGGAAAACCGTAAGTCCAAATTGAATTCAGTAAAATCCTCCAACCATATAACACCTCAAACTCCCATTTCTATATGTATTCGTAGCTCGACGACTCCTTAATCAAACCTTGTAGTTCAAAATCCACAAAACCCCAAATTTGGGTCCTAACCCCAAATATTACTCCAATTAGACAAACAAGAGGCACGAGTATTTAGCGGACGTTGCAATACGAAGTAACTCTGCCTTGGCGAGGCTCCCTTCTTTCTTCTTTCTTTCCTCTCTTTTCTTCTTTCCCTTTCTTTCTCTCTTTTTGGCCGTGCGTGCTCTCGGTTCCTTTCAAAGGGGGAAGTCCACTTTTCTTTGTGACGCTGACTTTTCAACGTTTTTTCTTGCTTTTTTTTCTTAAGAATTCCAAATATTACAATTTTTCAGGTGTGTAACGTAAAAGTTGTTGCCTTTGTACCAAAGTGACGTGTAAGATTCAGATCGGAGCACTAGGCATGTATAACATGTTTCGCATGTATGATATGAGTGAAGCAACGTAGGAAGTACAAGCCATACTCATAAATTTGTCAAAGTTAAGCAAGTCTGCAATAAGATCATCTTTTGAGGAATAGGAGAAATAGAATATATACCATTTTTAGAGTCAATGTCTTCTCTAAATGTATCAAAGAAAGTTAACTTTTTTCCATCAAAATACCATAGCATTTTTTTATAGATCATTAGAGCATGATAGGAATGTTATCTGTTCAAGAATTTCAGCAAGTGTCGGAGCAATAATTGTCAGAGTATAGATGAATTTTTCGTACGCACGAGTTTCTTTGAAAATCTTCGTCTAATAAAAGAATTGCAAGAAGCTTTATAGACGATTTTTCTTCCACAATCATCAGAGAAAAAAGACACGTGCAAACTTAACTTATCTACACATATCAGAGGAGGAAGATATGTGCATTTCTAACTAATGCTCTTTCTTTGCAAATTCAACTTCCTCAAGGATCATAAAAGAATAATACTTACTCTCTGCAAACTTAACTTATCTTAGCACAAAGAAATATTTATTTTTGGACCCGAGCATGTCCTTAAAATGCTCAAGGGGAGACAGGGGAAGGAATTCCCCAGTATGATGAAGGGACGTCCCTGTAAGTTCTACCTGTATTCCTAGTCACCCGGGAAGACAAACATAGGGTGGGAACTTGGGGGCCTACTTGGTGGGGAAGGTAAACTCCATGTCAACTTCGGTTGGTTACCACCAAGTCGAAAATGTGAATAACTTGCTCCACACCTGGGGTGAATGTGGGGGTGCTTCGACACCTGATTATTCCTGTGCTTTGCACAATGTGATTAACCGCTTGCCAACAAGTACCCCTGGTAACTCACATTGTGCTTTGCAAACCTAACTTAGAATACTTACTCTCTCTGCAAACTTAACTTATCTTTGGACAAAGAAATATTTAGAACAAAAGAGTGTTAACACATGCTCTTCTGTAAGCATAACTTTTTCTTTAGAGATTAGAGCAGAGAATTTCGTAAATCCTTATTTCGGTCATAAACCAATTGTACAGATTCCGATGTAACCCCACACCTTTCAATTGATCCAGTGTAGTCTTAAACCTTTGCAAGAAATTTCAATGTGATCATTCCAGCCAATTCTAGCCTGAAAGGAAAACCGTGTAATGAAAATGCAATCACCGTTTGTTGTTCCACAATCTCAGGGCTGTTTTGCCCGTTCATTCCAAGGCAAGCGGATCGTTTATGATACCCACCAAAGAGGTGTGCTAGCTTTCTTTTCTTTTTTTGGTTGGTAGTAGACTAGGAGTGCTGGCTTTTATCCTTGAGCAAGTTGTATTATGATTCTCACAGGAGATGCTCTCATTTCCACCTCAATATGAAAGTGAAGGGGAGACATGCCTCGGTGTCACTCAACACAGCATTTCATGATGCCAATTCGCCCTCCTTTTCAAGCATGACTACGGGAAACTAACAGGGACCGTCCCATGTGTTAGTGGAACCAATCATCGTTCTTTTCTTGGATTACAGAACCACTCATCATTGCTTTTTGTCTTTTTGGTTTTAAAGAACCAGCACTCTCTTCACGCCGAAGCCACTTCAACGCAAAAATCGGGGTCTGACTGGCTTTATTTGTAATGATACTCGAGCTTTGATGTTGCTTTCCCTTATATGATAGTTGAGCTCCAGTGGTAGCTCACTCTTTCTATTTTCTTTCTTTTGTTTAATCTTCGTATTTGGCCAAAGGTAACTTTTAGGGGAAAATTTTACTACGTCTCAAAATTTATGATCCTTTCCAATCAAATTCTTAAACTTTGCTTTATCTAATCGAATCTTTTAATTTACATAAGGTTTCTAATCAAGTCCCTCCATTACAAATTCCGACATGTTAAATTCCTAATAATTTTAAGTCTATCACATTTCTAGAATGGTCAACTCCACATTGAACCCACTTAAAAAGACATACACTAAGATAAGACCTTGCATATTTCCTATATTGTGATTGATTCCAGTGAAAACCCAAGAGATTACATGAATTGTTGAGTTAAGTTATTTTGGATGTAGTAAATACTGTGTTTATATCGCTGTCTTTCATTCTAATTAACTTTGGGGCTCGCATTTATCACTTTGTGGGTGAGGTCTTGTACTCGAATCACGCAGACGACCAAACATTAAATATGATATAATAAAATCCCGGGATTTTATATCATGTCCTATCCAGTCCTATTTTATGCAGAAATTCAGACGACCAAACGCATCCCGAAAGTCTTACCCCATACACAAAATCCAATTAAGTTGTAAATCTTTCATTCACTTCAATTCAGTGCTAATTACCTTCGAGGAACTAAAGATCTTTCTACGTAAAATCTTCAAATTGCACATTTCAATATAATTTTATGAAGTTGTTGAATTTTTCAGTAAAGGTTTATGACTTAAGTGAACAAATTTGATAGATTTAGAATTCCATTGCATCCGATGTGTAAAATTTAGGGCAAGTAATACAATCTTCCCTTTTTTGAAAGTAGAACTACGAAGCGACCTTGTAAATTCAAAACAAACACCGAATCGCCTTCGAAAAGGAACAGAGGGACCTACGCTAAAATTCCGCATAAAGGGCATGATCCATTAAATGATTCGCCTTCGATGGTCGTCTACTCTATTTAATTATCACAGTATCTATGAAATAAATAATCAAAGTTTCTTGTCAAGAAGCATGGCAAACATAACTATAAAACCCATTGGTCAATTGCTTCTATGTATGAAAAGGCTAGTGCTCTCGCAGTCTTGTTATGTCAAAGTACAAAATGCCTCCAAAAACGGCCATGTTCTTACTCATTTTTCATTTCGTTGGCCTTCCTATTTTTGCCTCAGACCCCGACCCCGTTCAAGACTACTGCATACCAAACCCTAAATTCGGTACTGGCCGGACCGCCAGATTCTCAGTCCTCCCATGCAAGAACTCTTCCGAAGTCACCACGGACGACTTCGTCTTCTCGGGCCTGAAAAACTTCACACCCAACTTCTCTGAAACCGGACTTGCCGCCCTTTCCGTGGACCCCACCCTATTTCCAGGGCTTAACACACTAGGCATGTCGTTCGCGAAAGCCGAACTAAGAGTTGGCGGCATCAACCCGCCACATTTCCACCCTAGGGCCACCGAGATTGCGTATTTGGTGCGAGGGAGCATTTACTCGGGGTTCGTCGACTCAGCGAACCGGGTTTTTGCTAGGGTTATCGAGGCAGGCGAGGTGATGGTGTATCCAAGGGGCCTGGTGCACTTCCAAATGAATGTTGGTGACAAGCTGGCGACCATTTTTGGGAGCTTCAATAGCCAGAATGCCGGAATACAGAAAATTCCGGCAACCGTCTTTGGATCCGGCATAAACAGTGATCTTCTGGAGAAGGCATTCGGGTTGAGTCCCAGACAGATAGGGCAGATGAGAAGAAAGTTTGACCCCAAAACCACAAGGTAATTGATGTTGCCAGTAATGGACGATACAGTTGTATGATCTGTTTCGGGCTTCTTATTTACTTCTGATATACATATGTTATTGGATCGTTTACCATCGGTGTTTAAGACAAATATGTTCTCAAGGGAATTTCATTACTATTTATAGTTGGTTATGTTAATATATAGACATTTACAATACTCCATACGATCAATATTTCACTTTTTTTTTTTGGACAGACAATATTTCACTTTAGAAACCTCACTTGAGATATATAATTGCAGCTATTAGGGAAAATTACCCGATCAATCCTAAATCTATTGTACAGATGCCAATTCAATCCTAAACTTTTCAATTTTCTGTCATAAACATTTCAATTTTGCCAATTTAGTCCTAAACATTTTCGTGAAATTCCGATTTAATCTTTCTAGTCAATTTTCGCCCAAAATCGTTGACATGGCGGATGTAATCCTTCCGGTCAATCTTTGCTGGAAATAGCTAACGTAGCGGTCCAGTCATCGCTGGCTGTCTTACGTGATACATTGCCACGCCGGCCATTTCCGGCAAAAATTGGCCGGAAGGACAACGTTGGAATTTCGTGCTAAGGTTTAGAACTAAATTGGTAAAATTGAAAAGTCTAAGACTGAATTGATATACGTATAATAGGTTTATGACCAATTAGACAATTTCCCCGTTGTTACTATGAAGCATTTATTCTATTATCGTGTTAATTAGTCTAGATGGGCAGATTAGATGTAATCCTGTGAACACAGTTAATCACGGAAGTAGCCGGACCAAAGAAACACTTTGATCCAACCACATGCTAAGTTCGGTTAAATGTTTTAAATACAATAGCAATTCAGCATGCAGTGTCGAGATCTAACCACATTTGCAGTTGATATCATATGCTCTATAAAGACTCTCTTTGATGCCTTAGGCTCCATTATGAATTATTTGGAAAATATTTTCCTAAAAATAATTGCTTGTATCTCTTACAAAAATAAATAATCGAAAAAAATTTCACCATCCGCGAAAATGTTTGGATATAGATTGCCGTCAATAGTAAATATTTTTTTGTTAACTACTAATTTCAAGCTATACAAGCGATTATTTTAAAGAAAATATTTTTTAAAATTATTTATTTTTCGCAAAATAAATGGATTCTCAGATCAAGATCAGCTGTCGTTAAAATGAGCCCTTCAGACAATGAACAAGAGAGTTTGAGTTGCGACTGTGGCAAAGAGGAGGATGTTTGCGATGAGCGTGGTGTTACAATCTCCGAAATCTTTTTCCGAAAATCCATTCCGACGAGACACGATGGCAGGGCTGTAATTTCGGTCAGCAACGGGGGCTTTTTTGTATCTGTCTCACAGTCGGAGCAAGTTCGGCTTGCTCAGTCGGAGACTTCATCATTTTCCTCAAAATAGTAAAATAGTCACAAAAATTCCCCTTTCGAAAACTCTCGACCATGGAGTGACGACAACCTACTTTAAAAATTCACTTTGAATTTTTCTCTGAAACACTTGAATTTTTCACCAAGATACATGATTCAAATATAAACATTCTTTAAATTTTGAAATTTGAATAATATATTAAAATTTAGGTTAATATCACGAAAAACCTCAAACTAATACACATGTGACAAATTTAACCCGAACTAATTTTTTGACCACAAAAAATCTCAAACTGGTACACATGTGATCAATTTACCCCAAACTAATTTTTTAACCTCCAAAAAACCCAAACTGGTACACTTATGATAAATTTACTACTCGTTAAATTGAATTAATATCATGAAAATAAAAAATCGGTAAATCTGTGACAAATTGAGGGATAAAACCCCAAATGGTACACCCGTCAACTGTCATGTGTCATCCAACTCAACAATTTAATGGTAAAATTTCACAGAAACAATGGAGGATAAATTTGTCATAAATATATAAATTTTGGGTTTTTCGTGAGATTAACCTTTAAAATTTTGACGCTACTTCTATATTTTTTTTATTTTGTAATTCTTAAGTGAATAGGCCCAACTTAAGCTCCCTTGATAGACAGAAACCACTGCGATGGATGGCCAGGTAGTGTAAGACTTACTCCCAAGTAATTTGAGCCTCTTGGTCACAGGTTCGGAACTCTCCCATCACTCCTCGACTTTAAGAAGCCTTCTTTCGTTTGCCGCATAAATTACGTCGTGTCATGGCATATGATAACTCCCGTCCTACTCCCATGAACAACATTATGCGGCAGCACTGATAGGCTCGCTAAAAATTGAAGCGATCACGACTCAAATCGAATATTATGTAATATCGTCCGGTTCCGCCAAGAAAGAGCATGCTCTACGAGCCAAAATTGGTGGACATGCATGATGATTCTTAGCCAAAAGAAAAGGTTGATGATTCTTAGCCAAAAGAAAAGGTATCACGTGACCAAAAAACATGTGATGGCCCACTGACACAATGCCAATCATAACTTTCCTGAGCATGCTTAAGATGTGTAATTGCACATTGCTGCTAGTTTGGTTGCCTTTTGGTTGCACTAATGGCTATTACTTTACAGGCTTAACATTAGTCATGGCCACGGGCCGGTTTCGGCCCGGAACCGGCCCGGTCAAACCCGGGCCCGCGGTTCGGAACCGGCCCGTGGCCTACGGGCCCAGTTCCAGTTCCAGAAATTTTGGAACCGGCCCGGAACCGGCGATTCCGGGCCCGGTTCCAAAAAAAAATTTAAAAAATTTAAAAAAATAAATTAAAAAAAAAAAAACCTGCAGCAGGCCTGCAGCGTTGCCAGGGCAGCCTTTGCAGGCTACCTTGGCAACGGGCAAAAATAAAAAAATAAAAAAAGATAACCGTTGCAAATTGCAACGGTTATCTAGCTTTTTTTTTATCCTAAATTTTCTTCTCATTTTTTTCTTATAAATTCTCTCAAATTCTCTCAATACTCTCAATTCTCTCAAATTCTCTTAAATTCTCTCAATTTTCTCAATCCGCGCAATTCTCTCTTAATTCTTCCAATCAATCCGCTCAATTCTCTCAATTCACTCGAAAAATGGCAAGTGGAAGTCGAGTGCCAACTGGCAAAGGTAAGAATATCATGACGGAATCCCATCATTTTTTTTATCCTCGTGATTATGCAGACTTTCAAGATGATGAAATCAACATTTTTCCCGATGTGGAGCGCGTCCCGACGCAAGAAAGTCTTCATCCTCCTGCCGAAATATCTACAACAAAGGAGGCGGAGCGGGAACTTACATCTACATTTGGGATCACTTTACGAAAATGGAAAGGTTTTATATTGGTCAAAAAAGGTATGATATAATTTGTAAACATTGTGGGAAAATATATGAATATACAGATGGACAAGGATATGGAACATTCAAACGACATCTTAGGAGCAAACATCCAACCCAAGCGGGAATCGATATCAGCCAACAACAAATTTCCGAGTACGTCAATCCTAACACTTCCCCTTTATTTCGTTTTAATGAAAAAAGTTATAAGGAAGAATTAGGTAAATTTGTTTCCGTTGAGCATTTATCATTTAATTTTGGAGAAAGATTTGGTTTTAATCAATTTGTACAAAAAGCATGTGCTCCACAAGAAAAACGTGTTCCTAGAAATTCACTTAAACGAGTAATTAAAGATCTTTACAAAAATGGAAGAAAAGATTTACAAAACTTTTTTATGCAATTTAATGGATGCGTGCATATAGGTAGTGATATTTGGAGTGATCATTGGCAAATTCATTCTTACATGGGCATAACATGTTATTGGATAGATGACGATTGGGGTATTCAAAAAAGAGTTATTGCATTTAGAGTTTTCGATGGTAAGCATACGGCAAATAATATTTATAGAATAATTAGGCAAATTTTAGAAGAATATTATTTGCTTAACAAAATTTTTTCAATTGGTTTTGATAATGCCGCGGCAAATACCGCTTCAATTGCCGATTTAGAAAATATTTGTAAACCCGCTTTTGGCAGAAAATTTTTTCACGTTAGATGTGCTTGTCATGTTTTAAATTTATGTGTACAAGATGGTTTGAAAACTCTTGATATTTTTCTTGAACCAATAAAAACAGCAATTCAATTTTTATGGAAACATCCCCAAAAAATGAAAGAATGGGGTAGATTTGTAGAGAAAATGACAAAAAGCCAAAAAGATTTCCAAGAGATGTTCCAACTCGTTGGAATTCTACTTTCCACTTGCTTAGTGAATCTTATGAATATAAAGATTTATTATGTACATTCATTCTAATAATATACCTCAGATTAATTTATACCCATAAGAGTGGGGTATTTGCAAAAAAAATTTAGATATTTTAAAGGTTTTTAATGATGCAACTTATACTTTGTTCGGTGTTTATTATCCTACTACGCATTTATTTTTAGTAGAGTGTATTAATATTGTCGGAGTTTTTGAGGAATATGAAAATGATGTTGAATTACAACATACTATAGTAACAATGAAAATGAAGTGGTTACATTATTATAACGAAATTCCCATTATTTATTTAGTTGCTTGCGTTTTTTATCCGCGTTGCAAATTAGATGGTTTAAGTGATTATTTGCATATATATTATCAATGTTTACATTATAATACGGTAAATGTTACAATCATACTAAGTGAGGTTAAAAACGTAGTAATAGAATTATATAATGAATTTTATACTAAATATAATTTAGGTGATATTTGATCTTCTCAATCTACCGAGACACAAAGTGAGAGTACAGGTAAAATTAGTAGAGGGTACCAACTTTATTACATAGACAAAAAAAAACAAAATGGAGCAATAGGAAATATTTCTGAATTAGAGATTTATCTAACCGTTTCCTTTAAGTTTACTGAATCCGAAGGTAGTATAGGTTTTTTTAATTTTGGATTGGTGGAAGAGGCACGCAAGCCAAACCCAATCCTTTCTCTTATTGCAAAACAAATTTTTGCAACCCCTTGTTCCACAGTTGCGGTTGAACAAGCATTCAGTGCCGGAGGTAATATTTTGAACGAACATCGTTCAAGATTAGCTCCAGAATCAGTGGAGGCTCAAGCTTGTGTCGATGATTGGACGAAGGCTCAATACCGACAACAAGAGATAGATCGGAATAATGAATCCGAATTCTTTAACGATAGAGATACCACCGGTACCGCTACCGGAACGAGTAGCGACGACTGAGGGTAAAAGAACTGTTGGAGTTGGCAAATATTTTGGGGACCCTTGTTTCTCATACCGAACACGCCCACATGAGCTTAGGGAAACAGAAGTATAATCCGATGACATGTGATCCTTGCGCACGGAATGCGGGGGTTCGGATAGGCTTAGGTTTTGGGGTCATTTTAGGGCATATATATTGTGCTCCTTTTTTTTATAGATCATTGTAACGAATTGTAAGGCGCTTAATGATAATTTATTAAGTTCAAGCCCCCTCTTTCTCTCTTTTTGTCCCCAAATTTGATTACAATTTACATTTTGATTACAATTTATATTGAATAATTCATTATTTCATAATTCATTATTTTTTTATTTCATAATTTATTTTTTAAAATTTTAAATTATGAACCGGAACCGGCAGGAACCGGAACCGGAACCGGAACCGGCCCGGAATCGGAACCGGCCCGGAACCGGAACCGGACCGAAACCGGCCCGGAACCAACCGGTTCATACATGGCCACGAACCGGAACCCGCCGGTTTCGAACCGTGGCCATGACTACTTAACATGTCGATTACAATATTTGATTACAGTAATGAAAGAAAAATTACCAAAGCAGTCCTAAATATATCGCAATTATGCCAATTAAGTCCTAAACATTTTTTTTGGCCAATTTAGTCCTAAATCTTTTGCATTTGTACCAATTCAATCCATTCAGCCAATTTTAGCTGGCCAATATTGACATGACGCTAGCCGTCCACATGTGACCAATTTACCCCAAACTAATTTTTTGACCTTCAAAAACCCCAAACTGGTACACTTATGATAGATTTAATATCCGTTAAATTGAATTAATACCATGAAAAATCACAAATCGGTAAATCTGTGACAAATGGAGGGATAAAACTCGAAATGGTATACCCATCAACTGTCATGTGTCATCCAACTCAACAATTTAATGGTAAAATTTCACAAAAACAATGGAGGATAAATTTGTCATAAATATACAAATTTAGAATTTTTCGTGATATTAACCTTTAAAATTTTGACGCTACTTCTATATTTTTTTTTATTTTGTAATTCTTAAGTGAATAGGCCCAACTTAAGCTCCCTTGATAGACAGAAACCACTGCGATGGATGGCCAGGTAGTGTAGGACTTACTCCCAAGTAATTTGAGCCTCTTAGTCACAGGTTCGGAACTCTCCAATCACTCCTCGACTTTAAGAAGCCTTCTTTCGTTTGCCGCATAAATTACGTCGTGTCATGGCATATGATAACTCCCGTCCTACTCCCACGAACAACATGATGCGGCAGCACTGATAGGCTCGCTAAAAATTGAAGCGATCACGACTCAAATCGAATATTATGTAATATCGTCCGGTTCCGCCAAGAAAGAGCATGCTCTACGAGCCAGAATTGGTGGACATGCATGATGATTCTTAGCCAAAAGAAAAGGTATCATGTGACCAAAAAACATGTGATGGCCCACTGACACATTGCCAATCATAATTTTCCTGAGCATGCGCACCGCAGATAAGATGTTGTAATTACACATTGCTGCTAGTTTGGTTGCCTTTCGGTTGCACTAATGGCTATTACTTTACAGGCTTAACATGTAGATTACAATATTTAATTACAGTAATGAAGGAAAAATTACCAAAGCAGTCCTAAATATATCGCAATTATGCCAATTAAGTCCTAAATAATTTTTTTTGCCAATTCAGTCCTAAATTTTTTGTATTTGTACCAATTCAATTCATTCAGCCAATTTTGGCTGGCCAGTATTGACATGACGCCAGTTGTCCGATCGACCTTGACGTGATAAATTTTAAATATTTTTCAATTTTTTTATTTTTTTCCTTTCTCTTTCCTTTTTTTTTTTCCTTTCCTTCTTCTCCTGGCCAGTCGTTGGACCGGCCAGAGGCTAGGGTCGGCGAGATTGATCTCACCGTCGCAAGTGAGGGCAAGCCTCCCCATGGCTATGGGCAAGGTCGACCATGGCGAGGCCCACCCTCGCCGTCGCTAGGCGAGGGTGAGCCTCACCATGGCTGGGTGAGGTTGAGCTCACCCAGCGACGACAACGGTGAGCCTCACCAGTCCGGTGACCGACCAGGGGAAGAAGGAAAGGAAAAAGAAAAGCAAAAAATACTATAAAAAGTCGAAAAAAATATTTAAAAATTATCATGTCAGCGTTGGCCGGCGTCCACATCAGCACCGGCCAGTTAAAATTGGTCAAATGGACTGAATTGGCACAATTACAATAGGTTTAGGATTGTTTTGGTAATTTTCCCCAGTAATAACTATAACATAGACCACCATATAACAATTATTACATCTTGACTATAATAGCTATTTCCAAAATACTCGTCTTATTTTTTCTCACTCACTCTATCGGTGTTAGATTATTAGTGAGAATTAAAAGATTATTAATTATAACTCATTTTATTTATATAATTTATATAATGATAACATCATTTATACTTATCTTCACTTAATCACATATTTGTATCATCAAAAGTAAATAGTAAATATTAGATAAAGAATCGGCATAATAGTAATTATGTTATCGTGATGATACATAATTTATAATGTTAAAGATTATCCATAATATAATAATTAGCAGAATATTAGTTGCCCCTATTAGGTACGGTTGTCTACATGTTCATAACTTAATATTATATCATTCCAAATATAATGTTTATCATAGTAATTATATTAATCGATGCTCAAATTGTGATATATTTGTTATTTCTATTAATTATGTACCAAATAATATTCAGCTTCATATAATCATATATTATACTATTAAATTCAAATCATAGTGATAAGTTTTAATTAAACAATAAATAATAATATTAAATTGTAATATCTTGACAATATGTATAGGGTATAACACTCATCTTTGACTATTAACGTAATAATTCCTATAACATAATATCCATTTAAATATAATCACATCTTATGTACTTAATATTTAATAAAAACCAGAAATATATGATTAGAATATAGATAATATTTCATAAAATAGATTATATATCCATAAACTCATGAATCATGATTGACTATTTAAGTGACTATTAAAGCAATCATTATGATATTCCCTCTAATTCTGATTATAGCGATATTTTGTGAATTTTGATGTTATGCCCCCTTACTATATATGTCATTCATGAAACCAAACAGTATAATAGGTATTATGTTACTAAAATCAGATTAATGCAACCAAACAGGCTGTCAGTAACCCCAACAACAGGCTGTCAGTAACCCCAACATGGCAGCTAAAAAATGAATGACCGATGTCTATAGCATTAACGTTCAAGAAAGAGAGAACTGACTGTTCGTTCCTGCTAGCCTTCGAGGCCAATTCTGCATCTAATTTCGAAATCTTTTCTAAGTTAGAAATACAAAATACCAAAGTTCACCTCAGAAGCTGAGCAAGCAACAAGTTATCCTTACTTTCAGTTCATGGCCAACTTCAATCTTTGGCATTGAGGTTTATAAACTTCTACCGGGCATCGTAATGGCTACTGCTTATTACCTTAAAGTTCAAGTTCAACTGATAGAGGGGCCTCCCCAGGAAAGGGCGACCGGTACTCGAATTTCCCAATCAGACTAACTCGAGGATTAGGAATTGTACAAGGATCAATCAACAAGGAAATTCAAGGCAGGAAGAGTCAACTGGCCAAGGGGGAAAAGAATGTTAACAGGGACTATATGACCTTCTACGCTGGTAGATGAATCAAATCGACTCAACAAATTGGAAACCTCCCTCCTTTCCAATGTAAAAGAGCTATTCTTGTTTTCTTTTCAGAACATGCATTCAAAATAATGCCCCAAATGTGAAATCTCAAGAAAATTAGACCAATTAGCTCGAGTTTAACCCACCAACTCCAAAGATAAGAAGGGAAAGAAAGAAGAACGCAAACAACATACCGCTTACAACTCTGGTTCAAATCTTTCATTCAAGAACAATGAACAAAACTGAAGGTCTACAAGTCAAGCAAGCTATACGGCAGTTTCTCCGAGTAAAAGTACCTTTGTAATAACATCAGACATCCCATTAGCATAAGGGAATCCGTGTCCATATCCAGGTAGCTCGTGATATTGAATCCAGGGGAGTTGCTGGGAGATGAAGCGCTGCATCGTGACAGGCACCAACATATCATCACCCCCTTGCCACACATGGATAGTACCTTCATTGTTAGGGAACGGGTTTTCTAGATCCATGGGAGTAAATTCCCAGGTACCAAATGTGATCATCAAGTCACGGTGGAGGGACTCAAATTCCCCTTGTTGTCTTACCTCGGCCTAAAAATAAATCAATTGATGTATTTAGTATTCATGAGGATGTAATTAGACTATGCAATCAGGGGACCAATTGAAATTAAGGAGAAGAGGAGAGACAAATTACACAGATAGAAGTGATAACAGAAGATGATAAACTATGTCCACCAAATTCCAGGTGAAATGCAGAGATATGTTGCTTGTGAAACAACTTTTATATATTCCAGGGAATTCATCTGAAAACGAATCTGGCACACAACATTGTTATTTTCAACCTCCATCGGGCCAGGTGCTTTTTAGTAACTGGGATGAATTTTTTTCTTTTTTTCTTGATAAAGACAAAGGAGTTGGTAGATATTGGCTGACTCCAAGGACGAAGATTATTCTTCAGCATGACACAATGGGCATGACTCCCTACACTGTGCCACTTCTTAACAGACGCTATAACCTTCTTACTCCTTAAATCAAGCCATGTGACAGAAAAGCAATGCAGGAATTCAACAACACTAAATAAAGGAATTTAAACGGTGTCCAAAAAAATAACGCGAATCAGAGAAAGAATTTATGGAAAAATGTCAACAATACGAGTTTCATAAACTGAACTTGAAGTAATATAATCCATACATTGGTTAACAAAGGCCTGAAATAGATATTCCAACCAAGACCTCTAAAAGTGTAGTTGCTCATTGTTGACAGTCCTGCTTTCACTAGTGTTACAGGTCATCCTCTTCTCATTTTTCCAATGACATCCAAAAGAAAAAAAAAGAATATTTTATCTAGTAATAAGAAATCAGTAGTAATAATAAGTAGGCCATACATACCGAATTTTCTCTTATATGTTGGGCATAGATTTTTTTGTCTGAGGGAGAAAGAACATCAGTACTATGAGTTACGACGCTGAAAGCGGGGAACAATTTTTGGGTGTTCCACCAATAGGTAAGCCAGGGGGCGTGGTAAGCAACACGGAGTGCCCATTGATCCCTCTGGAGCTTTTGGTTAAATGCCTGAGAAGACAAATTTGCAGGTAAACCGTGCCACCAGTGATTGATAGCTGGAGCTAGTAGTGCTGCTCCTGCTAGCCTGTGGCATCAAATATATCACTTGTATGGGTAGACACAAGACAAACAATCACAGAATTTACTAACATGCAGACCCAAAATCTTGGTTCTCTTACACAGATATATGCTTGCACATTTTCATACATGACCAACACAAGGAGATTAGTAAGAAACTCTTCATGGTTACTACACATTAGATTTGATCCGAGACAAGAAGAATGGGCCAGCGAATATTCTCACACAGGGTACGTTGAATAACTCTCATCTATTTGATTCCGCATTCCTCACAATTACTAGCACGTTATGCATTCACTCAGATAAACTCATTGCAACAATTTTACCTATGAGGAATGTACTTGAGGCAGCCCCACACAATCTGGCCACCCATGGAATAGCCAATTACGTACAATTTTGAGCCAAGTCCCAGCTGATCAGCAAGTTCTTCTATGTCTAAAGCAATGCTTTTCCTCGTTCGTTTTGGATCAGGATCACTCTGTCCATAGCCAGGTCGATCAAAAGACACAATGTAGACCCCTAGATCATCGATGACTTTCTGGATGAGAACACCAATCACCATGAATTAATGAATAGTAGAATCTAAGATACTGCATTTCAGAATGTAGATACATTTTACATCAAACAAAGTCTTTGAGCACCTGAGATAAAGTATTTGCGACAACAGCATCATGCCTACAACTGTCAAAACCGTGCACATAAACAATTTTAAACTTTGCAACATCTTTTGGAGCACCATGCTCCTTATATGCCAAATGCCGGCCATCTCTAAGCTGTATTCTTGGTGCTGTAACAGGAGGCCCACCAAGAGAACCAGGTATTTTAGGTTGAGGAGGTTGGATGGCTTGATAAGCCCAGGCAAGGATTCCAATGAATGAAACCAGAAGTAGTTTCTGGAAGATCCCTGAAATGGTGCGTGCATATAATCACTACACACTATTAGCAACTATAGAGAGTGGATGGAACATGAGTTAAACAATCTGGAAAGACGCATGAATTCCATTAAGCAAATATATACTGACAGGTCTAATATAAGTTCCGTGAATGTTTTTCACGCATCATAAACATTCTCAGTAACCTATTAAAAGAGAGTATTACATGAAAAGTAAGAATGTCAATATCCTTAAGCTAACACAGAGTGGAGTTTTCACTTTCCCAATGTAATTGTTGTTTGGTCAAGAACATGTGAATTTGCATGCCGTGATATAAATGGACCCAATCATGTAAGTGTCACTATCACTTTGAACCCGGCTAATAAATCGGTCGAGTTCCATTCTCACACGAAATACATACAAATTGGCGGAGTGAAACCCGACGAAATAAAAAATACACTAGGTGTTTCACAGCACAGACATTGGCAGTCTCAAATAGTCAAGAGCTCAAATCAACCATTATTTACTTCAAATCAACAAGAAGTATATAAATCTCGCCATATTACTTAACGTATCGTCCCAGCAAAATTCACATCTCAGCCCCAAGATTTTCAACAAGCCCCAGTGGCAAACTGATCGCCGAAACACTAAATTTGGGAACGCTGTAGACCTTGCGATCTTTGTTCAATCAGCATTCCTTCCAGGTGTTCAAGTTCAAACCACCCCCCCTCCAAAATCACGGCCCGAAAAAGAAAACCTCCCCACATCAGACACGCACCCAATAGAAACAGAGCGACAAGGCATCGAAGTGAAGACCCCGAAATCGAAACGAGCTCAAATTATATCGACAGAGAAAGGGAGGGGAGACGCGACACCTGAAGGGAGACGGAAGGAGCTGGGCTTGGATTTCCGGGTGTGAGCTCGCGCCGCAGCTGCCGAGATCTTCCTGCCCGTCGCTCCCGCCATAGCTTTTTCTTTCGGGTTTGCTCGAAGAGAGAGAGAGAGAGAGAGGGAGTTTCAAGAAACTCTGCTTACTGCGTCTCAAGAGCTAAAAGATTCGAGTTTTGAGATCTGGGAAAGGAAGCGAACACGGGCAAGAAGACGAGGGTGTTGGCTGGCGAACGATCCAAGAGCTTTCTGAAATCGAAGTTAGTCAAAGGATTCCATTTCTGACAGCAAACTGGCTTAAACACTTCCCAGATTAGATAGATTCCGTCGAAGTCAAACCGGAGTAAAACAGGTTAATGAGGTCGGATTTTACCATAGACAAATTGGGAATTCTTGACTGATCCATCTTTTTTTTCTAATCGATATAACTAATTTTCCAAATGGTTGATTTTTCGTGGAATAGACGAGCCTTTGTATTTGGAGAAAAGCACTCGAAATTAGGAGTGTGCAAAACGGACCACCCGAACTGGGAACCGCCCAGATCCAATCCAACTGGCCGGTTGGGTCCGGTTCCTAGGAGTGTCGGTCCGATTCCCGGTTCCTAGAAGTGGAATCAGTGTCCGGGCAATCCGGTTCCCGATTTCAAGGGAGAACTGAACCGATCAGACCGGACCAACTACATATACTTTTTTTATTTTTTCAAAAAAATTAGTAAAATGCGAACTGAACTCATACACAACACTTTTCCCTTATCGTTACACTACAATGACTCTTCACACATCGTCCATTCTGTCAATATATTGAGATTTGTCACTCTCTTTCGTTATGGTGGAAAAAAACAAAAAAGTAACCGATTCCATTGGACCAAACCAGAAACCGATCACCAATGCTCGAAATGCGATTGAGTATGAGAAGAAAAACACACAACCTTTTATGAGCGAGACATCTTAACACGATCTTTCAAATGTCTCTAAAAATTATGACATTTTGCTTCCGAAACACATTTGACGTGACTTTTCAAATGTCTTTCACAGGAACACAAATTTTTTGTCATTTGGTAATTTTGAGGCCCATTAACACTCATGGAGCAATTAAAAAAACACTCATGGAGCCCAAAAAAAGAGAAAATACCACAAAAAATCTCAAATTATGTTCATTAGGACACATTTACTCTGACCATTTTTTTGTGTCACTTAAAATCTCAAACTTTTATATACGTGATATATTTATCCTAACTTACGTTTTCGTTAAGAAGCACCGTTAAAAATCTTACATGGTGGCTGACATGAACGACAAAATGTAAACAATGCTGAATGTGGCGTCCACGTGGATTAGTAAAACAAAAACAACGTCGTTTTTCTTTGGTACTACAAAACGGTGTCGTGCTCTTCATCTATATTGCTCTTTGTCTCTCCTTTTGGGGGTTAGGGTTCTTCGCGGAGCTCAGTTGATCTCCATATCCTTCTCGATTGCTCTATTGAAACGACAACGAAATCTCTATTGCTCCGAAGGGAGGAGCTCGATTCGTGGTTGATCATCTCTTGCAAATAAATGAATTTAATAAAAATCAACAAAATAAATGCTATCAAATGAATAAAAGAACTCATCATTACAAAAAAATTACGGTATAACTTTAGAGGGTTATATTGCGTGATTGTGCATATTTCATCAACAAATATGACTAGAAAATTGGTGGCACTTATTGTGACATTCCGAATTTCGACCCATTTTTTTGGAATTTATAAAACGTGTATTTCGTCGGTGCGCTTATAGTTAAATCTCGCCCAAAACTGATCACTCTCGGGTTATTTTTAAATTTGAGATTTCGCTAAAATCACACTCGATCGAATTTGGCCATTATTTAGATCCCGAACTTTGGTGTCGAATTTCCCGGAGTTTCGTGACGAATTTAATTGGACGGTGTCGATATTATTGCGGCCAGCGTCGATATTGCCCGGAATTGGTGAAAAGTGAAATTTGGTCCGGGTGCGGATTTTGACTAGTAGACCTCAATCTTAGTGTATTTAGTGTTTTTGGCCCTTTTTCCTAATTTATAAATTAGGGTTTTCGTGGACCGTCGGATCGACTTCAAGTTTGAACGTGGGTCGTTGGATCGCACTCGATGGGGTTGACTTTCCCTCTCTCTCTCTCTCTCTCCCCCGGTCACATCCCCCCCTGCGCACGTCCCCTCCCCCATCTCCCAATGCAGACTCTCTCTCTCCTCCTTTTCTTCTTCTTTCTTCTTCTTTCTTTCTTCTTCTTCTTTCTTCTTCCCCTTTGCCGCTGCTCCTGCTCCTTTCCGCTCGACCGCCGCTCACCCAGCCGCTACTCGCCGGCCGTCCGCCTTACGCCGCCGCACGCCTAGCCGCCAGGGCCGCCGTCCGTCCAGCCGTTTACCCCTAGATCGATCGCCCTTCTCCTTCCTTCCCTCCCGCCGAGCAGCAAGCTCGCGCGCGTCACGCCGCGGCCCGGCCGCGACCTAAGATCGCAGCCGGCCAGCCACTCTGTCTCACCCGGCCACCCGCGACGCCACCATGCCAAACCCGACCGCCGCCAACTCTGCCATTACCAACGCGACCCTTCTCTTTTTTCCCTTCCCCTGTTTTGGCTCACCCCAGCTCCGCCTCGCCAACCGGTCGCCGCCATTGCTACTGGCCACCGCCGCTCTCACCGGCTTGCCGCCACCACCCCAGCTCCCCCCGAGCCGCCGTCGCCCCTGCTGCTCCGGCGACGATGAGGCTGCCCCTGTTCTGGCCGAGTCCTCCGCCGCCCTAGCTCGCCGGCTGCAGGCTCGGCTAGCTCGCAGCCCATCGTCGCCCATCGCTGTCGCACGCTTGCCGGTCGTGGCCGAGCTTGTCGCCCTCGCACGTGCCGGCCGAACCGCCCCCGGTCGTGGCCGAGCAGTCCAGCTGCTGCCCTTGCCCGTGCCAAGTGCCGAGCCCATCGCTCGCACGCCTGGCCGCAGTCCCGGCCGTGGCCGAGCTCGCCCATCGTGCCCAGCCGCTCGCCCGCACGCACGCCTGGTCGCCCACCTGGCCGTGGCTGAGAGTCCCGGGCCGTGGCCGAGGGCTGTGCCGAGCCGTGGCTAGCCACCTTGCCCGTTACGCCCGTGCCGCGCTGAGCCCGCCACTGTTCCAATAGGCCATTTTGGTCCCTTGCCGGCTTTCCTTGGGCCAAAACCTAGGTAAGTGACTCCCTAAACCCTACTTAGTACTTTGGGTATTATTAGACTTGTTTAGGGGGTGATTAGTGTTGGTTTAGTGACTAAGTTAGGTGGGGATTAGTTAATTAAATGTGTTTGGTTTATGGATTATTGTGGTGGTAATTTTGTTGCTAAATTAGTGATCGATCAAGATGGGTTCAATGACTGAGTTGTCGTGGCGTTTGTGGGTGAAATTGGTGTTTGAATGTGGCCGACTTGAAGGTCGGGTTGGTGGGCTAATGTAGTGAGCATGACTTGAATTTGAATAGTATGACGTGTTAGATTGGTATTGGCGAATTGTGTTGTGGCGTATGTGCAAGAGAAACGTCTTGAGGCGTGGTTACGCAGGACTGAGCCCTAATTGATCGAAGGGCTGCTAACCTGAGGCATGGTTACGCGGGTGTGGCTAGAAAAGCAAGAAATGACTTGAGGCGTGATTACGCGGGTCGAGAGAAATGTCCTGATGCGTGGTTATGCGGGACTGAGCCCGGATTGATCGGGGGGCTGTCAACTTGAGGCGTGGTTACGCGGGTCGAGAGAAATGTCCTGAGGCGTGGTTACGCGGGACTAAGCCCGGATTGATCAGGGGGCTGTCAACTTGAGGTGTGGTTACGCGGGTCGAGAGAAATGTCCTGAGGCGTGGTTACGCGGGACTAAGCCCGGATTGATCGGAGGGCTGGACCTGAGGCGTGTTGACGCGGGTCGTGGATAGTTGGTTGGACACACATGCGAAATGTGTTTGGCTGAATAGGGTGAATGTACGTGGTTATGGTGCTCGAGTGTTTATGTTATGTCCTTGAGCTATTATTGCATTATTGTGATTTGACTAATGCGCAAAGTTGGCGGGTGATTTGAGGCAAGGTAAGTGTGTATGAGAATTTTTATTATGTCGATTGCTAGATTGCATGCTGGGACTCGTCTGGGTACGCAATGGCCTAGGTGGGGTTTATGTTGTCTGCTTATTGAGATTTATTTTCATTGCTGTAGTGTAAACCATTTCAGATCCCCGACCCCGACCTTGATCATGCCACCACCTCGGCATTTTGGGGTCCCTATGCATACGGTGCATGAGGAGACCGAGTATCCAGTAGGTCCAAATCAGACTTACATTAGACACCTCACTATAGTCTGGGTAGATGTGGGCTTAGAGGACTTGCAGTGTCACACTTACCTGGCCTGGTTTTATCGTGACGGGTTGGAGCTAGTTGGCCCAATCCGGGGTTTTGAGGGACAGCAGCACGGTAACGAGGATCCCATGGATTGGGAGTCCGGGGACGTGTATGCTCCTGATGGTGAGATTCTAGACGTCGAAGATTCCCCGGAGAACCCTGGTCCCGAACCCGAGCCCGTACCAGAACCTGTAGCGTCTGCGGATCTCAATCTCGAAGAGGAATTTGAGGATTCCGAACCTGAAGAAGAGCCCGAGCCTGTGCCTAAGCCCATGGAGTCCGAGCCCGAGGAGGAGCTGGGTGACGAGGAAGAGCCGATCGAGATCAACTCTGATACGGAGTCGGAGTCTTCAAGGTCTAATTCAGATTGGGCACTATAGGAGTGTTTGGTGCTAGGTTTAGAACTTTTTGGTAGAGCCCTTTTTGTGCAGCTAGCTAGCTTACCCTACTACCTGTCCCTTTTTTATGATACTGGTGGATGTTAATCCTAGGAGCCTATTGTCTGATTGTTGGGCCGAATATTGTAAGTGACTGTTTTCCATTGTTATGAAATTATTGTTTTGTGATATTGCTATCCCTTCGTCATTGTCTATTGTCTGGGTTGTTATATTTTGCTTCCGCTTGCGTATTTATTTGGGTACTTCGTTTGGGTCGGCAACGCGTCTTGGGACGTCACGTTTGATACGACCGCCGTAGGGGTGTCGCGAGCCCGTTGAGGTTCGGGGTGTGACATCCCTGTTGATTTGGTATCAGAGCAAGGTCAGCTCGATCCAAGTTGGTCGAAGCTTGAAGTGATAAGGAGCGATGACTTTGAGGTAGCCAGTTAGGGAGACTCACGTGCCATGCGTACCCCAGACTGTGTGATTGTGGTTGCTGAGTGATCTTATGCAATAATGTGTGAAGTGCATGTGCGTTAGGACTTGA